AGAAACTTCAAGCAGTGCAAAATACCAACTAAAATATATTGGCCACAGGTCTCCTACAACGTGTGTATACTTATGTCATCAGTATGTATTGAGAATAGCTCAGCTGACCTACCTGTGATCGAGTCGAAGGCAGGTATAGATTTATTGAAAGAGGGGGTAAAAGGGGACTTCCTGACAAGATGCGTGTCACTTGAAAGTTATCCAGGGAAACCCGTGCTGGCTGTGTTCTCAGTGTGGGAGCCTATAGCTCCTATGGGCAGGGGTGTTCTCTTCCCTGGGAGAGCTTTTGTGGTCTCCTGTGGGTTCAGAGAGAGCGGCCTAAACAGAATGTACATAACGATTTTGCTACAGCTTTAGCATTGTCTCTGGAGGATTTATCTTGAAAATTAAAATAGTTCAAGAAACTACATGATAATGTCTTACTGAAATTCCTGCCTTTTGTGTCAGTTCTCTTTCTTCTCCGAGATTACTTACCTCATGAGTGCCAATCCTCTATATTTTGAACCTTTTGTGTTTCAAGTTTTACTAGAGGAACAAAAGTAGCTAAGTGGTAAAGCTCTCTTAACTAATCCCCCAAAGATCTTCATAATGCATGAGGTAGATCAGGTGAAAAGTATTTCTTTTAGGGCCCTCAAGCAATTAGTAGATCTTGCTAATATTAGGTATGGTACAGACTAGTGGCAATATGAAGATACAGTTATGTGAACTACAAGAAACTCTTAAATGGTGATTGTTACTTTTATGGTTCATGATAAATGAATGGGTTTTGTGAGGAGGATTGTGCTATGCAAGGCTTTATGTGAGGGTTGCATTTGTTGCTGTGAGGGTTTACAGAACCTGTCAGACTTTGAATAGGGTCAGTGCGCTAAATATGTCAGTGGTGGGAATTCTTGTGCTGTGAAAGACTTGGAGAAAGCAGCTGTCTGAGAGCATTGAAGGTCACCTGGGCATGTGTGCTGCCAACCTCTTCACTTTCGTCAATAGAGTCACTGCAGCTTATTACAATCACTGAGGGAGGGTTTCCTACTGTGGTGGGAGAAACAAGGCTGTCTTACCTAAGTAAAAATCCAAGTATACTTACTTGAAAATTGAAATTATGCCAGAAGGGAAAAATAACATTCCTGACATTAGCAGTCTGGGCTTGTCTGGGAGGTCAGGGAACTTGTATTTTGCTTCTAGTATGAGGTATCAGGAAATCCATCTTCTCTCCACCATCCCCCAAGTAGCAGTATTCTAGTTCTGGTTTTCAGCATAAGCAGATAGTCAAATAACTTTAAGTTCAGATTCAGGGACTGCAAATACTGTGTCCTTACATTTTGTATTGCAAGTTCACAGTTTGATAGTACAGATTGATTGTATGAATTTCAAATGATACGTGTGTTGCAGAATTATTCTGCTTGTATTAAAAGTAATACAAGTATTTAAATGTTGGGGTCTGTTTTCTAGTTTGTTGATACCAAACCAGTTCAATACATGAGCAAGAGAAAATTTGTGTTGGAGAAGTACTGATTCTTTTTTTTCTTTGCCTATTACTGCCCTAAATAATAATAGTCAAAAAAAAAAAAAAACACCCACCAAAAATCAAACCAAAACCCAAACTGAACCACAAAAACCCACCAAAACTTTGTGCATTTGGCTGGTATTGCAAAAGATGTTGAGAAGGGAAAGTTTCAGAAGAACTTATGAATGAAGTGTAGAGAATTAGTGCATTGCAGTTCCATAATGCACTTATTTTAAACCGGCCTTCTTTACCCTTTTGAAGTTTCTCATTGTGTTCCTCCAGATCATCTGTTGCTATTGTCAAGGACCTTTCACTTTGCAGACTCTGTTCTGTTTTTTCTCTCAGAGGTTTTTCTTGTTCTAGAAGTGGCCTAAATGGTCAAGGGCAAGGTAGAAGGTGATCTCTGTCTGACACCACACTGAGCATGGTGTAGGCATGGACGTGATGCCCAGTCTCCAGTTAGTCTTACCTGACTTCTGTTACAATGATTGTTGTTCCTTCTACTTTATCTTTCTGCTACTGCCTCTCACGCTTGTAATCTAGGCTTTTGCATGTCCTTTGCATACCTGTTTTTGTAGTGGATTTGCAGTTAGGTCTTTGTCCTGTTTTATAAAACTGCCTGCTTTGAACCAGGCATATTTCCTCATAGGGCTGTTGATAAATACGAAATTTGGACATGGAACCAAAAAGTTCTTTGTTGTTCATGATGTTTTTGCTTTTTAGTATTTTTTCCTGGTCTTAGGCCTTCTTTAAAAATGAAATGATCTAACTATGTATGTCGTTGCATTGTCTGGCACTATCAGTTAGATGGGATTTTGCTGTGACAGTGTGTGTAAGGATTACTGGTTTTCTCACTGTTTGCATCTTTCCTATCGTTATGTGCCCTTGTGAAAAGTCCCTCTCCAGCCTATTTGAAAGCCTTGTAGTAAACCCTTTTTGGGCTATATGCAGTTTAGTGTTCTGTAGGTGCAGACTTTTAAAAATAATAATTTCTATTGGTTTAAATTTAACGCATATTCATTATGTTATGCTTTTTGCTTATTTTCTATGTAGTAGCTGCAGTCATGAGGCAGGAAGCTTTGTGAAAGATGTAATTTGCAACCTGCTCTGACATGTTGGAGTACAAGATGACAAACTTAAGGCACTTTCCTTGATCCTGACAGCACTCCAAATTCAGTTATGTTGTTCATAACAATGATTACTTGGTGTCTTCATCTGTTGAAATAACTTCCTGTTCTCTAAAAGTAACTCAGATTAGACAAAATTATCCGTATCTTTGTGCAGGAGACAAATGGAAGTCCACTGTACTGATATTGCTCTTATGAATCAGATCTTCCTGATTTATGAACACTTCATGAGTTTGAACCTTGTATTGTATGTAGGCATGTTGTAGTTTTTTATGTTGGGAAATAAACAATAGTGTGTTTCCTGTTGTGAAATGTGTTTAAATACTTTTCTCAGGCCTTCGATTTTCCCCTCCCCACCTCCTCCCACCCTGCAAAATGGGAAATAAGTTAAAAATATGTTAAGGAATAGCTAGAGAAGCTGATGCATAAATGTTACTAGGTATTTATAGTGTTTGGGGCACTTGGTGTCCAACCTTTGAAAGCAGCATGATAAGACTTACTTAAAAAGCTTTAAAAGGGGTGACAACCCATCTTTTTTTATTTTATTAAACATCCTGGAGGTCTTCTCTTTGACTTACAGAAACAACAGAAGCTTGTTTGATTGAAAGAGATACATAGCTGTTGGCTTATTTCTAGTGTTTTCTTCAAAATAAGTGAAAACAGGCCTTTTGAGTGAAAAGGAACTCTGCCAAAGATCTGCAAATGTAAATTCTGTTCAAGACAAAATAAAAGCTTCTCTGCAGTCATCTCAGTGGACTTCAGACAGTGTTTCTGATTGACAGAAACAACTAAGCTTCTTGTAAGTAAGAGCTGCATAAATAGGAGAGTACAGACAAATTGGTTTGGATTCACACTGATCTCTAATCTGTATTTGAGTGTTTTGAACACAAACTACTCATTGAATTATGTTCTCTAGTGCTTTTTTTCCTTTATAAATGTATAAATGCGAGCATAGGCTATTAGCCTATACTTACTAAACTTATTGCATTTTTAAACTTTTTATGCTTCGTCTTATGCAAAATATTACGTTGTCTGAATCACACATTGCAGATGCCAGAAAAGAAGGATCTGCTTTGTAGGAGTTCAGAGATGATTCTGAAAAATTAGTTGATTCTTACTGTTATAGCCAGATAATGAGTTGGATGGCTTTGCTTTATTTAAGTAAAGTCAAATAACTTCAAGTTGCCATTCTAGAATTAAATTGCTCTACATTTAGGTATTATGATATAATGTGTTCCAGATAGTCCCTTCCAAGCTTCTAGGCAGCTTTTTGACATTAATTTAACAACAAGTTTCAAATAGGACTATATTGAAGTGTTCCTGAATCCAAAATGTAACTAAGCTGCATGACATGGCAATAAGAAGGGCCATTCAACAGTTTGCCTGAATCCTTCTGAAATATTTGCTTGCAATACAGGCTTTAGTGTCTGAAGAGATCTGAAGTATTTTATGTCAAATAGGATGTGATTTGCAAAAATTAAATTTTCTGTTTGGATAAAAAAAAATCATATTGAACAATATTGTTAGGATATCTTTTGCATGGAGAAGTAGTGGATATTCCTCATAGTTAACTTATGGTTGCCAAAAGTGCCTTTGAGTGTTAGTTTACCTCCCATTAACTCAAAATTAGCCAAGAGAGTCTCTGCAAATGACTAGTACCAACTAGCAGATGTGGGTTTAGTTCAACCTATACCTTATTTCTCAGTGTCTCCTGTGGTCCTTAACTGCTTTGTTTTGCTTCTTCCAAGACTGCAGTTGGTGCAAGTTGAAGATGCAAAGCAGAGAGTCTCAGATTCCCATTAACATAATACAACAAAGTAATAAGATTATTACTAAATTTTGATATGTAAATAACAAATTATTTCTCCCATCATTCAGACAATTCTTATCTGTAATGGTCTGGAGTGGAAAAGAAGGGGTTTGTTTTTTAACTTTTTTCTAAATTTGGTGGTTAATGATTTTTTTTTTTTTTCATGAGGGCATCTTCAACCTGAGTGGTATGAAAAATTCTAAAAGAACAACCTCTTTCTTGGATATTGTAGATAGCATATTTAAGAATTTTTCACTGTTCTATGGAGTTTTTTCAGTTGATAAAGGAGAATTAGTTTAGAAGAACCGCTATATTGAATATTATCACTGTTATAATGAAGGCCAGGTGATTTATTTAGCACCAGCATGTTCTCCACACCTCACAAATGTGAGAAATTGCACAAAAAGTGTATTAAGCAAAATGGACATAAAGGGCAGGAAAATCTGCAGTTTGTAAGAATGTAAATGCTTAAAATGATAATTGATATATAAGCTTCAAGATTTTTGCTGAAATTAATGGATTGTATTAATTGAACTTTTCTAATGGCTTTCTTCTTCCCTAGGCACGAGCCTTAACACCTCAAACAGCAGAAACAGATGCAATAAGATTTTTGGTTGGAACCCAGTCTCTTAGATATGATAATCAGGTAATTTTTCTGTCAAGTGTCAGTTGTAATTTTTCCCTGTTTTTTTAAATGTTGTTCCAAAATCATTCTTCTTCCTTTCTCCCCCCGTTGAATATGAACATTGTGATAGTCAAGTTGAAGACTTCTGTGAGTAAAATGTAAAGATATTGGTAAGATATATCGTCAAATGAAAGCTGTGTGTGTTTTCTGAAAATTAAATTGCTCTTCTAAATTTTATGACTAAATCAGATTGGTTTAGTGAAGAAAATATTTTTGTTGCATTGGATCTATAGATTTTCTGGAGCTATCTTTAAACCGCAGAAGAGAAGAAAAGTAAAACAAAAGTCTTTAAGCCTTAATTGCCTGTAATGAGACTACTGCTACATGCACAGTTAAGTGTATGTGAAGCTTCATAAACTGAATTTTTCATCATTAGTTATTGACAATAAGCTGTGTCCTTTCTGGTCATAAGTTTAACAATTCAAACTGAAATTTGAGTGACTTTCATGGCTCGATTTCTATTGGGCTGTCTCCTCTGCACTTAGGAGTACAAGACTTCTAATTGTACAGCAATTTTAATTTTTGTGACTAAATTGCAGTAAAATTCATAGTGAAACAAGTGCCTGAGGCTAGAAGAGTTAGAAGCTGTACTGAATGCAGGTGGCAAGGCTTGGGTAGCAGAAGGGCTGCATTGGTGGCCTCTGAGAAGAGGCCAGCGGTTGCCCGTGCCAGGCATGGCTGGTCCCAATGAATCTGCTGCAGGACACAGTTGAGTCAGTCAGTGTGATGGCATCTCTGTGAAAATGTTTGAGAGAGGGGAGAAAATGCTGGATGGAAAGAGGAGGAGCAGTAGAGGAAATGACAGAGGTAAGACCAAGGTCAGGAGAAACAGAAGATGCTTCATGCTGTAGCAGGTATCCACTGCAGCCTCTGGAGCACCTATGCCAGAGCAGGTGGATATTCCTGAAGGAACTGTGTCCCATGAAGGTCCCATGCTGAAGCAGAGGAAATGAGTGAGATGCAAAGAGCGTCTCACAGGAAATAGTATGTACTGCCCATAACCACCACTGCCCCAGACCCCCTGCCCCATTTGAAGGGGATCACAGGGGTCTGGGGTGCAGTTAAGACTGGGAAAGGAGGGAAAGAAGGTACTTGTTTATTTTAAGAGGCAGTAGATTAATTAATTCACCCAAGTCAAGTCTGTTTTTCCTGGAACAGTAATTAGTAAGTGAGCTCCCTGTCTTCATCTTGACATATAGCTTTCTCACTCCTGTTCTTCCTGGTTTCTCCCCCTGTCATGCTTGGGAGGAGCAGGTATCTGGGTGGGAGTCTAACTGTTAGCCAAGCCTAACACACCACAGAAGTCCCTAGAATTGGATAGAGTGACCAGTTCTTCTGATAATGGTCTGTAATGGGCTGCATAAAATGAACTCAAGAGCCATAGCTCTGGGAGAAGTGAGCTGTCAATTCCCAGTGAAGTTTTGAGTTCGTTACTTAATGGTAATACTGAATGAGACTCAAGGAAAAATTATTCCAAGGCATAAGGGGCATGGAGTATTCAGATTCTTTACATTTCAGGTAATACTTATGAGAACAGTAACAAAAGAAGAGGCAGACAAACTTAGTTAACTAAGTATGTATACTCAGTTATATTTTTGATTGTGCTGTTTCTGATGCTCTTCAAATATTGGTTATAATGTGTCTTTCTACTGTGATTTCTGTGGTGGTTTTACTACCTGGGCCAACTAATTAAATCCTGATACAAAATTCTAGTTAAAGAATGGTTCTTACTTATCAGTTGATATCCAGCAGCTCTTCAATAATTTAGATGTTTTGATTTAGATAAGTTTATTGGGCATATACTGTGTATTTTAGAAATGTTTACATATTTTACAACTTTGAGTACGCTTTTCTTTTTCCAGTGAATAACATTAACAATAGAAATGCAGGACCATTCCTAGTGTATTAACAGATGTTTGGAGGTTATTGGCCTTTAACTGTGCCTCAGGCCATCATTTCCTCTCATCTAGTTGCTAATCCCCAAGAAGTGCCCTAGGCCTCAGCTCATTATTGCTTAATTCAGCACTAGGTTCTCTAGATTTGCTTGAAAATTTTTCTAGTTACCTGACCAAACTTATGAGCTGGCTTGCAACCTTTAGAACTTACCAAGTACTCCACAGTGAGAAGTTTTATCATGTGCAGAATATTTCTTCCCTTCTAATCATGGACAGGTGTAGTGCAATTGAAAGACCAGTGATTGTACAGCTGGCGTGATAACTTTTGCCTTGTTGAGGTTTTTTGCTGTATGAAGCAATTTTAGATATTCATAGGAGAATATATTTTAGGTGAAAATATTTTCCTGTTAACAGTAATATTTCAAAGGCAACGAAAATGTTTATAAGATTTTATATTCTCTCAATAATTGACATATTAATAGTGTGTAGTACTTGGCATTTGGTTCTTATAACTTGCTGAGAATGGTTTAAGTAGTTTCTCTGATGTACTGTGTAGTTTTAGAACTTTTGTCCCCAGTACTTTCATTGTTGCTAAATTTAATGCATTCATTGTATGCATTGGAAATACCAAAGCATGTCACTTACTCTTTTCTCATCTCTAATTTCCATGATTTGTATAATGCACTGGTAAGGCCAAACCTTGAATCCTATGTTCAGTTCTGGGCCCCTCACTGCTAGAAAGACACTGAGGTGCTGGAGCAGGTCCAGAGAAGGGCGATGGAGCTTATAGCTCTCTACAACCACCTGAAAGGAGGTTGTAGCCACGTAGGGATTGGTCTGTTCTCCCAGGTAACAAGTGACAGGACTAGGAAGAGGAAGTGGCCTCATTCCCCTCAGTGAGGGACTTAGGTTGAGCTGCCAAAGGAGACTCGAAAGAAAAAAAAGAGATAAGGTTAAACTGATCTTTTTTTGAAAGGCAGGAGGGCCACTCTTTAAGAGGGATATGCAGTTGTTGGGGTAGATGGATAGTGTCCTGATTCCTAGATTCAAGGCAAGAAATGAAGTTTGAAAAGGCAACTTGCTAATCAACTGCAGATGTTCTTACATGCCTTGGATGACAAAATGGAAGAACAATACAGGTGATGAGGTTCCAGGATTATATTTGAAGGAGGAGTTGCTGATAACTGTTTGGACAATAAAGAAAAAGATAACATGTAAACTCAGCCCCTTAAAAATAACAGTGTTTAATATTACAACTTTAGATTAGGTTGAGATGTATTTAGTAGCTTCTATATTTTAAGGAAATCTTCTGTAATTCTGCATAGCTAAGATTTTTGCAGTGATTCAGTATTTAAATAAGTAGACTTAATTCAGTCACGATGATAGGATATCTCTTGGCTTTTTTCCCTCTTCATTTTTCACCAACTTTGAAAATGAATTTTTAATGAGGATACAGTTCTCTAAAATTTGTGAGTCTTTTAAAATGTATTTGTTCACTATTGAGGTTAGGGGAATTAGTCCCTTGAGTAAACTTACTTCTGTGTGTTATGCAGGCTAGAATCTTCCTCAGTTTCTTGTATTTTTGAGGCAACTATAGAAAAACAACTAACTAAAAATAGGGAGGAAAAAATTATAGTAATGTAGACCTATTTAAAAAAATACAGCAAACAAACAAGCAAAAAACAAAAATGAAAATAATAAAAATCAAACTTAGTTCTGTCTTTTAAAAATATTACCTATTTATTTAAATATTATTGTTTTTCTTCCTCTTTCAGTTCAATATTTTATGTTTTCATATAGTATAAAAAGATTACAAATTTGTATCTTGTTAGAGGTACATAACTGCTGAGGTGAACTCTCAAAAAATTTCTTACTGAGTTTAGAGTATTTGTTTGAAAGAAGAAGAATTTCCCTCTCTCTCCTTCTTTCTTGTAGTTTGTTTGAGTTCCATGACTTAGGTACAGAATTGGTGCAGACAATTAGACTAAGAATTGTAATGTTATTTTTGTTTATTGCTATTAAGAATTGTTAAATTGTAATATGAATGGCTTATTGACTATTAGCCATAAAATGAAAAATCACCTTCAAGATTGAAGTTGAAAATTGAGAATAAGCGTAGTATTTCCTCAAAACAGGGAAATTGCTTGTGTTTTCCTGGAAAAGTTAATCCTGCATGAAATCAGTGATATAGTAAATTGTTGGTATAACAATTAATTAAAATAGATATCGGTTATAAAAATCTCATTAAATTGCTCCATATAGTCACCACGTATAATTAAGACCCACAGGAAAACATTTGAAACCCTGATGTTCTCTTTTATTGTATTTGCAGATTCACATAATCGATTTTGATGATGAAAATAACATTATAAACAAAAATGTTCTCCTTCATCAAGTGGGTGAAATTTGGCACATTAGTACCAGTCCTGCAGATAAAGGTGTACTAGCAACCTGCTACAATAAAAGTAAGTCCTTTTTAAACATGTTCGACTTGTTAAGGTGTTTTGATATTTTGGAATGTGCAAAGTTTGAACATCTACCTATGTGGAAACACTTTACATTGGAATTATCAACACAGGCATTTTTCAAAAAATCTGCTGTACTTTTACCTATACCGCATATTATACCTATATCCTTAGGTTACCTTGGTTAGAAGTCAACTTTTGCATTCATGCTAAGGAAAGCAGAAGAATAAACCTTATGCTTCCCTAAAGAATCATAGAATATGCTGAGTTGGAAAGATCCCTCAAGGATCATCAAGTCCAACCCTTTGCCCTGCACAGAACCATCCCCAAGAGTCACACCACATACCTGAGAGAATCATCCAAACTCCTCTTGAACTCTGTCAGGCTTGGTACTGTGACCAATTCCCTGGGGAGCCTGTTCCAGTGCTCAACCCCCTTTGGGTGAAGAACCTTTTCCTGATATCCAACCTAAACCTCCCCTGATACAGATTCAGGCCACTCCCTCAGGTCTTGTAACTGGTCACCACAGAGAAGAGATCAATGCCTGCCCCTCCTCTTCCCTTCACGAGGAAGTTGTAACTACAGTGAGGTCTCTCCTCAGTCTCCTCCAGGCTGAACAGACCAAGTGACCTCAGTCGATCCTCATACGGCTTCCCCTCAAGGCCCTTCACCATTTTTGTTGCTCTCCTTTGGATGCTCTGTAATGGCTTAATATCTTTCTTATATTGTGGTAACCAAAACTGCACATTATTAATAGCTGTTTTTAGAAATTGCTTAAAGAGGTCTTAAAATGTGGCATTGAAGAGAAGTGGAATTATGTACATTTTACATTTCCCAGGTCACTGAATAAGCTAATGGAATAGGGTGAAATGCTCATGAAAAAACTTTGAAATTTCCCCCTTTGTATTGGGAGAGATACTGAATTTTCTTTTACTTTCTTACACTTACAGATAGCATAGCTGAGGTATGAATAAGGTCTTATGCTACTATATGGAAAGAAGATATAGTAGATGCAAACAGAAGAGCACTTTTTCACAGCTCTTCTTTGTTTTTTGTTAAGAGGAACTTGCCTTTTATATAGCAATTTTGGGGAATATAAAAAAAAAATTTAAATGCAGTGAAATCTTTCCATAGTATACAGTTGTTATCATTCCTTGTAATATTATCAAGACATTTAGACTCTTGTTTATTTTTTTCTTAATGACTCTACAGTTAATTCTGCTGCCCCAAAGTCACAGACAACACTAGCAATCTTGCTGTATGTTTTGAAATGCAGATGATCTGATGTAGTTTGCTTCTCCTTTCTCTTGTAGGGATAAAACTTAGCGAAACAGTGTAATAGGCAAAGCTTTTTGTTAATCTCTGCTGAGTGCTAAGAATTTTATGGGGGAATGAACATGCATATTCAGCTGGTAACAGCTGGTTATTTGTGGGGTCAAGAATCAAATGGAAAGTTTAAGCCATGTCTGTGTGTCTGAGAAGAATTCAGTTAAATGCTGCTCTGTATTCTTTATTCAAGATACTTTGCTAGGGTATCAGTATACAATTAGGTTTTTATAAGGAAAATACTTCCTGACTCTTAAGTAAAAATTAAGGAAAACTCTTCCTTGCTAGCACAAGTATTTACTTCTTTGTCTATTTTTGGCATTGCATCATTAATAAACCCTTGTATCTTTTCATTCTCAATTGTGACATTAACTAGAATAATAATGGTTCCAATAGCATTGGAACAATTGTATCTTTGTATATTAACCAGAAATTCCATTTTCTAGGACATTTTGTTTTTATACAAAGAAAAAAATTGTGGAACTGTTTCTCTACCCCTCCTCACGCACACATCTTAAAAATGCTGACTTAATTACAAAGGGAGAACTTATTTGACTCAGTTTCTGCCTTGATTATGGTGGTCCCCCCTCTCACCAATCATGGATATATTGCTTATGCAATTTTATACTATTACTACGGATGTTATAGGAAGATGATTTTAGTATCCATTGATAGGCTTACTGGTTATGTATACTCTTGCCTAACCTTCGGAAAAGATCATGAATTTACTATGCTGGAGGCACAGCACTTGCCTATACTGCATATTTCTAACATACTCAGCAATATTTGTGCTAGAAATATATTAAGATCATTCATGTGTAACTGGCATTGCTGATAGATAAGATGTGTCTTGAGAAGACACCAAGAAGTAACTTTTTCCAAATGCATTTGGCAGCTATTTAATGTCATGAGAATTAGGGATGTTTTATTTTATCCCAGATTCCTTAACTGAAGGGAGAAAAGCATATAAGTATGTGGAAGAAGCAAGGTATAAGAGGAGAAAAGAAGGATTTAAGTCTAAATATCTTTGGGACAGAGGAAGAAAGCTTTATAAAATTAATACTTGAGATATCTAGATGATCTCATGCACTATTAGTTAGTTGTGACATGCTGATGCATCATTTTTCTCCTCTACTATGGCAACTCAACTGAATTAAAATAGGGGTGTCGGGGTTTCTTTTCCCTCTTGAGCTGGATAAGATTCCTACTGACAGCTTTAAAGTAGGTAAAAATTAAGGGGGGAAATGAGTTTAGTAGTCTTCTAGCTTTAGAAGTTAAATTAGATTGTTTAAATTCAATATGATACAGATTAGGATTAAAAAATCTAAAGTATGAATTCTTGAGAGAATGGCACAATTTTCAGAGGGGTTTGGGTGATAATAATAAGTGGCAATAAACTAGAGTGCCACAGTTGCATTTTAATTGGTTTAATGCCTAATCTCTGAAAATTTGCATGTGGTTATTTGCCTCTGATATTTATTAATATCCTGAAGGTATGTTCAGCAAAGCAGAAATCAAATAATTTACTCTACAGTAGCTCAGAATTAAAATGGAGGATGCTGTATTTAGTGGAAAATCCCTGTCAGAACAATTCTAGGAACATTACACCTTGCCTTTTTTTTTTGCTTTTCTGACTAGCTGTAGTCGTTTGACTTTCTTTAAATTAAAATGTGACAGGAGTGACACTTCTAAAAAGTGAATAAGAGAGGTGACAAAGTAATTAAGGAGATTATAGCATTTCTTAGTAGAAATGCACTTTCAAATGTCAGAAAAGAAGAATGACGAGGTGGGGGTCAAGAATGTACCCTCCAAATAGTGATATGAACCAATGAGAATAATGATACACTAAATATAAGTTTAGAAATGAAGATAAATTAGTCTTCAAGAAATGGGTAGCTATCCAAGAGCTCTCTTCAACTGTTAAGGGGGAAATCATTTCACATGTGTGTTACTACTTAAACTTTGAAGGAAGCTTTCTTTGGTATTCAGAAGAGCATCCTAGCCTGCTATAGGGTACACTTTCATTGTAAAGAGGTGAAATACCGAAACCCTGCAGATCGCACTAGAGGGCAGTCACTTGGGAACTAGAACAATGAAGACCCTGGCAAAGCCCTAGACCCCATTGGAATATGATCCATATACAGTCTCAGTATTACTTAAGTTTCAAGCTACGGGAGGAGAAATCAAAAAGCCATTTGAATGGACTTTTAATTGTGTTCTGAGGCACAGACAAATACCAACAGGCAACAGGCCAGGGTGTGTCTAATACAATTTTTGTATGTAAAGTAGGTGATGGAAGCCTCAGCTCTAGGGTTGGCTGAAAAAAATTGGGACCCTGGATTAATATTGTGATTAATATAATGTTGGGTAATACTTGGAAATATGTTGATGATGCCCTTTTTGTCATTCCATCTTATAATACACTGTCTTTAGGTGTTTGGAAAATTTCTGAGTGAGGTGGATGCACAGTGGTAGGTACAAGTTGTATGTGGGGTTTGTGTGCGTGTGTGCCTTGCATATGCTTTGTTTCATATAGTGCTTCTTAATCTGTTGTCTTGTTTATACTTCCCACCACTTCTCTCACCTGCTATTTTAGAATACTGTTAAAATGGAGGCAGGCTATTTTTTGTGGACTAATAAAGTAAATTTCAGCTACATCATTAAAGGAATGGGATTTTTCTGTAAGACTTTAAAGATTTCTGCAGCAATGCCAGTTTGTCAGCAGTGGATGGCTTCTTTCAGAGTGAGTCTTGAGTCTGATCTCTGTGGCACAGAATACTAACTAGAGAGGGTGAATGATCATGGTGATGTTTGAGAAAAACTGTCATTCTAAAATAATTTTTAGAAATATAAAGGGAACTCTTAATCTGATAAGTTTCTACTTTATTCTTTGCAAAACCTGAGTATAGCTTTCATTATATCCTATAAGCCAGAATAAAAACTCAGATTTATGCATTGTTCTGAGATACAGATTGATCTATTTAGCGTGTCAGCAAGAAATTAGTTTTGTTTGAATTTTAATACTGTGTAATGGCTAATTACTTGGGTAGTTAGTGTTCTGGGAGATGTTCTACAGACAACGTTTGAGAAGTTGAGGAGTAAGGCAAACTTCTGCAAAGGAAGTGATGGGGAGATACAGAGGAGGAAATGGAGAAATGATCCAGACTGGAAATTCTGCATTAGTGGAAAATGCAGTTCACCTGCTGAAGCTTGAATTGGATCTAGGTAGCAGACTCCATTACTGTAAAGGTTAGTTTTCAGGAGGTGATTGTGTGCAGCTACTTCAGCCTGTCTCCTGTCTGCAGGGGACGGATGTGCTTGGGGGGACAAAAGTGAATGACCAGGTCTCGAGAGCATAATTTTAGACAATTGTACTGTTAAGTGTCACAGGTCTGATGGGGAAGATGCTTACTGAAAGGCAAAGTGAGGAAATTAAGGCACTAGTATAGTTGGAGAAATAAGGAGATCTTGAGGAATGAGATCTCAAAAACAACTAAGGGATATATCACGCAAAGGGTGAGTGTGTGGCTGCAACCACTTGTGAGAACACAGGAAGGTATGAGGTGGTAACATAACCTTTAGGCAATCAGTTCTAGGGAAGGGTAGAGAAATGTTACAGTGGTGAGATATAGCCCTTAGGTGTTAGCATTTAAGAGGCTTTCTGTACCATTTAG